CTTAAAACAGATAACATATTGAGCAGTCTGAACCAAAGCTATATCACAGCCTTATCCTTTTGTAGTTACAGCTATGAAGCACCTCTCACCTCCCGTCGGATCAATTACTGTCGTGTTGGAAATCTTGACATTTTTTTACTGATTTCTCTTTCTGGACATCATTAAAATAAAAATAATTATATTATATATAATAAGCAGAATACCTCATCTTTAACGCTGCACAATATAAGCACAATGGAACTGCCATATTACAGTTTTTTTGCCTTTCATCATCAAGACATTCCTATTTCTCATGATAAGTTTACATTTAATAGTTACAATCATCTATATCATTTTTTTTTATATCTTGGACAGTGAAGATCCATCTTCCTGGACTAATAATATTGGACAGAAGAATTTGGATGAATAGCACTAAGTACAATCTCTAAATATTGCATCTTAGCAATCATACATAATATTGGCTCTAAAAGGTATCTGAAACAATCCTAAGAGACTTTTGTCCATATTGACATGATTGCATCTTGCTTTTGCAACACATGTGTCTGCCACTCATATTTAAAGTGAAGCTCCTGTGTCACCACATCCTTTATGTTGGAGTTTGATCTGCCCACTGAAGAGGCTTTTAGTGTACAGTGAACTCTAGTGGTGATTATTTCTGTTATGTGATATGGTGTGATCCTGGTGTATTGCAGGGTAATATGCCATAAGCAGAATAATAAAATACCAGCAGAATATATGTTAAAAGGGATGGACATGGTCAGAAACAATACAGGCTGTGCTGATGAAAGAAAACACCATTAAAATTTTCTCCTCACCATTTCATCTCAAGTCTTATCCATTGATAGGCAGGAAGGATGGGGTTTCTATTACCTTAAATCAGTCTAACTATGTAAAAAGTTTTTATGGAAAAAAATATATAGAATGTTTAACTCTTAAACTAGGGTAATGATGCTTTAAAATACGAAATAACATTTTGATAATATCAGTTTGTATAAAAATCCAATCTTTCCAATACTATAAGACTATTGTTGTCTGGTGCCAGCTGAACTATTCGATTATCAATTTTAACAAGAGGCACCTCTTGAAGATACCTGTAAAACGTCATAGTACATCTAAAAAACAGGAATATACTGCAGAACATGCATAATTAGCTTTTTTTGTGTCTTTCTGATCTCCTTCCTCTGTCAGTCACACCATCAAACCCCCATGAGCTGAACATGCAAACTCTCCTCCTCCTGAGGTTGTGTTAAAACCAGCTGCTGTCTTTGATGATTCAGTCAAATGATGGCATGATATTAGAGCCAAGGAACACAGCTTAATAAGCTACTCTAGCAGGCATTATTGCAGTCACTTTTTCACATTCAGTCATTTTGTGATGTCAGAAAGAGGGAATGAGTTTGTTTCTCTGGGAACACAGCTACATTATAAAACATTGCATGAGAACACAACGTGCCAGAAAGAGGCAAAAATTATGTTAAAGCTTACGTTGACTGACAGAAAAAAAAATGGAATCACTCAAGGTTACATAAAGCTTTAAAAATGATTGCAATCCTTAATATTGTATAGATTACTTTGTATATTTAGACTTAAGAGACCAAGGTATGAAATCTTTAGGACATGCTTTTTTGACATTAACAGAACAGTAATTATAATCCTAAGCAAATTTTGGATACATTTAACGAGTGTCTACTCCTTTTATGCTGGTGTTTTCGTCTCACCGCTGCACATAAATAAAACATTGCATAAATTATGAGATTTTCTATTGTGCCTGATGAATTCGCTGAAAGACAACCCCAGCAGAAATTGCAAGGAACAGTTGAGTAGGAACATTCATCCTGTCATAGCAGATCTCAACAGAAGAGGGTTATTAATGTCCTTTGGTGTCCATGACGTGGCAGCGCTCTGCACAAACCTCTCCGGGGAACGTAGGGAACACAGGCTCCAGCTGGCATCGAATATTTGTTCAGAAACACCTGTCAGTGACACACATGCTTTGTCAAAGGCACGTTTGACAAAAGTTGCATACAAGCTTTTTCAGCCACCTCATTGTTTGTTCTTAGGTCCATCAACTCCTGCTTCTGGCCGTCAGGATCCCCCCTCCTCTGATGGATGTGGGGGAGTGTTCTCTGTCAGGCAGTATTTTGGCACTTTGCTATAGACGCTAAGCTTCTTGGTGTCTTGTGATCTTATCAGCTTGATCTTACAGCTCCTGGATATAGCCCAGTGTTTTCATGTTTTAATCTGCTTCCTTTAATCACTTCAGTGTTAAACCCAGCTGTCTTTAGCACATTCATTTGGTCCTGTGAAAACAATCCTGGTGTAACCTCAGTGGCTTCACCCCTCTACATGCTTCAAAGCTAACTCGAACTGTTCAAGCTGGGATAAGTTATTTCTCTCCCAAATACATTTTCTGCTGCCTCTTTTTTTATAAGTTCATCGATTTCCCGTCTTGTCAGCGCTGCAGGATGGTTTCCTTATCTGTGCTGGCAGGAGCACAAATACAGAAAGGCTGCTAAATAATGCAAGAGCCGCTGCATCAATAAAGGAGGCATGGGAGGCATCAGATTAACGGCCAGGTCATAAACTGTTTGAGGTCTCAACCGGCTGTAATGTTGGACTCTGACAGAACTGACAAGGTTGAACAACATAACCAACAATCACTCATGTTGCAGGCGTACTTTTTGGTGATCAAAGGACTCTAGTCCACAATACAGTTCCTTGCTGAGTTATCTATACACTCCTCAATGTTGGCAAATTATGACTGTAAACATCAACTTTGTAGACGGACAAAAACTCTAACTAGAGAGCGAGAATGTGAGGCATTGTTTATTTTTTGTTTAAAAATAGGCATTTGAGAAGTCTGCCAAAAATTTGCTTCTAACCTCCTTCCATCTGTGTAAGAAAGTATCCTTAATGTCCTCCAGTTAAGTCGAAGACCCCTTTCTCTGCTCTTATCTCAAGGGAATAAACATGACGTCTTACTGGATCTTGAAAGATGAAATTAACAAAAAAGTTCAGATTATTCAACTTCATTTGCAGACAAGGTGGCCAACTTTGCCAAAATTAGGGCCGTTCGCCACCCTAAATACGCCACCATCGCCTCTCCCAGCTTCCCTCCGCTTTGCTTCCTCCTCATAGAGATTACATGGTAATCCTTCGCTGCAGCAGCAAAATTCGTAGTCATGGAATATAGACAGGGGAGTGATGCAGTTTAAAGTAGGGTTAGATTATAAAAAAACAATATCCCAATCTTTGAACACCTCATAGAACACTTTCCAGTCCATTACTTGAAAAGGGGAGGATGGTACAACTACAAATCTACCATGACATCCAAGGGTCAGACCAGGCAAGATGAATATTGATCAGAGAAGCAGCCAAAAGGCAGTTGGTTACACTGGCACAGCTGCTGAAATTCACAGTTTAGGTGGGAGAATTTGCTGACAGGAGAACTATTAGTCATGCACAAATCTGGGCTTTATGGAGAAGTAGCGGGAGGAAAGAACTAAGTTTTGCAGTTTCCCACAAACAGAGCAGGGGATACAGCAGACAGGAAAGATGGCTTTGTGGTTGGATGAGATCAAAATTCAATGTTTTGCCCTGTATCACAATCACATCTGTTACAAAACACAATCCTGTGAACACTGTAACCATAGTAAACCATGGTGGAGCCAACATCATACTGTGGAGATGGAGAGCGGGTCAAAGTTGAGGGAAGGATGCTGTTTTGTTGTTTTAGTTTTTTTATATCCAGAGTAATTACCATCTCCAGTCTGCTGGCAAGAAAAAAACAGCCATGCAAAAGAAAGAAACACATTATCAAAAGAATAGAAGCAAGATTGGAAAGATTAGAAAAATCCAAGAATAGCACACTAATGTAAGTTCGAATTTGACATCTTGAATAATATAGTCTCTAGAATCAAAATGATAAAGCTATACCACATAATTTATAAATGCACAAAGTATAAAACAATTTTAACAAATTAGAATTAATCTAGTAAATTAAGATATTTATAGAAATTCTGTTAGAGGAAACAAAAAAAACTCAAGATTGGGGGGAGGTTCACTTTAACATGCATCTTTGGCTGGCTGATATGAACCACTGCTAATATCTTGTTATATTCAAACTGAATGGAAATACAAATTATTTATCTCAATATTTTTTTCTTCCCATAAAGTAGTTATAAAAATGTTCCTGTGGATCATTGATTCAAAGGTTTTGTCGCTTATTGGTGTAGATAAACATCAGATCATGTATGAAGTGGCTAAAATAATCCACTGGCATACATAAGTAGGGCTGTGCAATAAATTAAGTTTGTGAAAAAAAACTTTCTCCCTGCAAGGTGCATTGATGAGAGTAATGTTTAAGTCCATGTCCATGCATGTGAGTATAAAAACAATGGCAGTGGTTCCTGCCTCAATAAATGCTGCTTATTTCACATGTTTGGGGATTTATCGCCTCCAGAGGAGCTGCTTGGCTCTCGCTTCCGGTGCAGTAAAAGTTTACAGTGATGAGTAAGTCATCGCTTAAGGATTGGTAGCATGGCTAAACAAGAAATATTTGGAGATGACTCATGTTTGAATTATATCCGACAAGGCAATATGTACAGTACTAAAAGCTTTACATATGCAGGCTCGCCTGAAGGGGGTTCCCTGATCTAAAGCAGGTCTAATCACTAACATCTAGTATTTTAATACACTTTGCAAATGTATTGTGGTTTCGCTTTGATTAATTTTTCTGGATTTCTAGCAGAATAATATATCTGCTCACACAGGTTTATCAGTTGCTTTAATATCCTATTGATATCAGTTGGAGTTTTATATTAAAGAATATTAGTTATCAGTTAATTTTTTTTGTATTTTTCTTGCCTTTCCTTGCCAGGTTTGAATTAACAACAATGATCATATTGTGTTTCCATCATCAGATTATCAGTGAATGCAGTATTATATCTGATTATATACTAAAGTGGCTATTTTCTCTGTTTTTGCTCGCATTTCACCAGGAGGTTGAGGTCAGTTCTCTTTCCTTTATCTGTTTCTTTTTCACAATGTCTTGTTCTGTTCATGCTTGTGTTTCATGTTTTTTTTCTCCATCCGTCTCCTGCAACTTAATTAGAATGTTCTAATTAAATGTGAGAAATGCAGCCCAGTTAAAAGCCACTTTCTCAATGACGGCATATGTCCCACTTATCAGCAGAGGGCACAGATTTGTTCAGCTCATTTCCATACAAAACATGCAGAACAGTCTACCTGTTTCATCCTGCTGATAGTCACTTAGCATGTTTTATCTTTTAGACCACCTGCAACACTGTTACTTATTCCCTGCAGCTTCAGATAACGCTATTAATTTTGTCCATGTTTCTGCAGGATGATTATGTGCGTTCCTGGGATGAAAATCAAGACGCTAATGACAGTAAGTCTTTGCTACCTGTGTTGTATTTTAATGCATGATTATTTTGGTTCTTGAGCAAACAAAATGCTTCGTTCACTGGCAATGATACAGCAAAATTACTCACTAAAACCAGCCATATGCAGCAGTTCATCTCTTTACTTTTCCCTTATCTTCTTTTTTTCTTTGACATAATTATTTATAATTTATATACCATTTAAGAGTAGATGAAAAAAATAAAATAAAAAATATAAGAGCTGAGTAGTTGAATGTAATTATTTGGGGAAATATTATGTGAAATTGTGGATAAATGTAATTTCCTTGTGTAAAATAAACATTTATAATAATGAATGGCATACATTTATAAAATATAATAACCTAAAATACATTTAAAGGATTAAAACTTAAATTTATTTCATAATCCTCATTGAAAACTGAAAATGTTTGACACACCTTTGGTAAGATCAAAGAAAAGAAAAAAAAACTAAACAAAAGGTTTCAAGAATCGCTTTCATATATAATATAAATTATGAAGACTGTTGTGCAAGCATGCCTCCAAAACAAAACATTTACATTGTATAAGCTTATTTCTCCTAAACTGTGACAGAAATTTCATGGACATTAACATTTAACATTAGCAGTGAGCCTACTAATAAGCTATTCTTGATTAATATTATTCCAGTCCTTAAGGGCCAGTTTGCTGCACCTATTAGCTGCGTCTCTTTGCTTTAACACACCTGAGTCAAATCATCAGGTCATTGCAGAACTAAGGAGAACTTGGCATTAGCTAAACAGGTAATTAAGTCATTTGACTCAGGTGTGTGACCAGGAAGATATCAAAAGTTGCAGGATACCGGCCCTCGACTTGAGTTTGGCATCAATGATTTAAAACGATGCATTAATGAAATTAACATGTGAGACAAAGACCGTTGGTTTAACTTGAGAGCTCATTAGTGACTGCATGTTAGTGTTCATAAAGGGAACCCCTCTAAAAGATATTAGTGCTCTGCTTTATATGTAGAAGTAATTTTCCCTCAATGGTTGCCTTAACTTCAGCCTAACAACACCTTCTCTTGTTCACTTCCACTTTCTTTTTTTTTTCTGCTGTAGCTAAAACCAGAGCCATGCATAGAGCCTAAACTTCCTTGGCTACTGCAACAACTGTGGCCGTAATTGAGTCTCTGCAAGACAAAGTCATGACTCGGAGCCGAGTTGTCAGCCATTGTTGTCTTTGTCGGCAGATTTGAAGCTTAAGTGAAGTCAGCTAAGGGGCAGAGTACTTTAGCACAATATCAAAGAGCTTAATGAAAGACTAATTATAGTTTCTCATAAAAAGCCTGACAGAGAGGCAGTAGGATAAGGAGTGGGAGTAGCAGCTAATGTACTGTGATTTATTGTTCAGTGGAGGACATCTAACTTTGTCCTGCCAGGTCTGAGACAATTTGGACAAAGAATACTGGGTTTAAGAAAAAAAGTTGACAGTTTTAGTAGTGATTCACCTGTAAATTTACTATTTTCTCAGTTTGATTCTAAAGTTAAGCTGAGGTCATTTAGCCTGATGGAAAAGTTATAAAATACAATCAGACATGTACTAGACTGAACACAAAGATCCTGAAAGTGAAAGTAGGGATGGCATGCTTCAGCAAAAGCTTCATTATTCCATATAAAATTAATGTAGTTTAAGATTTTCTTAATTTTCACATTGAGCCTTGATTCTTTATGCTTTATTCTTGTTTGATCTATGTTTTTATCTTTTGGTGTACCTTCTTTTACTCCTATTTTTACTGATCTATATGCTGTTCTGTATAATATGATTGTATTTTATTTTACATGCAAAAATTTTAAAATGAAAGAAAGCAAATTGTTTTTCCACCTGCAAATATGCATATATATATATTCCAGTTTGCAAATAATCTCTGCTTCATACAAATGCATCTGTGTATATGAACTTTTTTCAAATTTTTATCAGACTTAGATCAGGATTTCAAATGGAAATTTCTAACAGGTTTAACAAGCATACAATGAATTATATGCTTGTTGCTCTTCCCTTGGCCCTTTTCAGCATCTCAGCAGCTCCTGCAGAGTTAACATACATCTCTTGTCCAACAAATTATAACATAATTTCAGTAAAATATTGGGAGTTTTCATCATGATTATTTGGCCAATAGATGGGTAAATGATTGACAGTAACATCAGTCGTTTTTTTTAACCGTGAAGCTGAAAAAAATTGAAGAACAAAAGATGTCCACTCACACATTGCTTTTTTCACAACCAAATCAATATTCAACAATCGCAGCGAGACAATATTTATTGCAGTGGCAAGACAACTCAGGAAAATGTATGACATTTTCTTCCTGCTTCCTAGGGGTTCCAAAGATCTTACAGAGTTGGGTGTACTGAAATCATTGGACATCCACACATAATCAAGATGGATGTCTTTTGTCAAACACCTCTTTGCAGCGCTCATCTTTTTATAAGCTTGTACACATCAAACAATAAACTAATTAGCTAATAATTTCTGCTTGGCAGAATAAGTCTTCACATCGAGCTTTTTTACATCTGACACTGAGCAGTAGAAATGGAGAAAATTCAAGAACTTGCAAAGCATAACTCAAATCTCTAATGTTTAGTATAATGTTTTCAGTGGTTTTTGATTGTTCATTTTCTGCTCAGGAATAAATGTCAATTTTTGTATAGGTTAGCGATTTTAGTATGATCTAATTAAGGCATCATTTCTAAAAAGAAATTGTTATTCTCTAGAAAATGTATAATCCTTTAAAAAACTGGAATGGCCTCAAAAAAGAAAAAACTAAATAGCACAAAAAGTCAATGCAAGGTAAAGAATCTTAGTTTAGGTTTCCTGCTCTAATATTAACATCATCTTTGTTTAACAGTCTTAATGTGGATAGAAATATTGCAAGAGTTTAGTTTTTGCAAGATGTCAGTACACTCCAGGAAATTTACATGCAGACACATAACCAGTAAAAAAACAAAAAGGCTTTTACAATTTAATGTTTTTTCTATGGCAAATGTACATTTTGCCCCAAATTATTTTATTCAACAGCTGTTCTCCTGTTTGACATCAAACCAAATTATTATCAATCAGAATTTATTAATTAGCGACTTTGGGATTAAGGTTGTGTTTCACAAAGGAGGAGTTCTCATTTGATTTGTACATTTTTAAGCATTTAGCTTACTTCCTATCCCTTTGATGACACTCTTCTACTCTTCCACCTCCAGCCATTGATCTGCCTTCCTTTATGAGTGGCCTAATGAAGCGAAGAAGCAAAAAGAGATTTGTCCCTTAGAGACACCCCTGAATCAGTCTGATGTCTTTACTCTGGATATCTGAGCCTGTGGGCATAATTTCTTAGCCAGACATCAGTGCACAGGAAGGCATAGCTTCAGAACTGTCAACACTCCTTAGGTTTAGAGTTAGAAATTCATTGACCGACAACAGGCTGATGATTGAATTTGTATTCAGAGACTGCAGCAGCTGACTGCTCTTAAGTCAGCAGCGGGCTAAGCGAGGGAGATGTCAGGGTAATTTGGGTTAGATTTCAGCAGTTGATTCATCAATCTAACTGCTGATTGAATCACTTCGCTCTTAAAACAACAAACACTGCAGAAGGGGAGTTTGTAATTTAGGCTTATAAGTGCAAACAAGCATGTACACACACCCACAGTAAGAGTCTCAGGCTTGTCCACTTGCCTGATCCTTTCATGCCTTCCAGTTTACATTGGATCTATAGACATGGATATCTGAGAGGCCTGGTGAATGGTGAAAAGACACTTTGTGGCAAATCATTGGCTTTAGATCAATGGTAGACAGTTAGAAGATAAGAAAACATGCTTATTCTACACTCTGCAAGGTTTTAGAGTTTAAAAGCTCCTTAGGTATTGGATGGATTATTGGGAGTTGAGCACAGACACTGAAGGTAGTGCCTCAAAAGTCCTGCATTTCGACTCATTTCTCCTAACATTTGATGAAGCAAAATAAGCTCATTTGTTTTTGATGGGAAAATAATCCCTTTCGGCCTCTTCACATCACAAATTTGCCCTAAATCAATTTACAGGCAGCCTTTTTTTTAAAAGATATAATCTGCTTACATTTTTGTAAATAGAACCATTGTGTGAAAGCACCTTCATCCCTCATACTTTAAAAAAATCCAGTGAAATTTTGTTCTAGGTTTTTTAGGTCAGTTTTTTAGCTGCTTCTTATTGGTGCTTGTATGAAACTGTTGCCACAGTGTGCCTTAAACATTTCCCAATCCTTGAGATTTTTCTTTTATAATCTAAATCAAAAATAAAAGGACAATGTGCATCTCTGTTCAGACCCAATTGCACAGATGCCCCTGCAAAAATGATGTGCAATCACATGGCTTCAGAAGTCACCTGATTAGCAGCTCCGGGTTTAAGTTCATCTCAGTTTAAATACAGCTGTTTTGCAAAGACCAGAGTTTGTTTAGAGAAAATTAGTTAGCTTTAACAGATGATTCCATATGATGGCTGTTCAAGCCATCATATGGAAATGGAAGTTAAATAGTACAACTGGTACCTTCCAAGACAGGCTATCCAATTAATCTGACAGGATATCACTAATCAGAAGCCACTGAGAGTCATATCCTAACCTGTGAGGAGCTTCCTAGGTATTAGTTGCACAGTATTAGATATTTAATTCACAGTCTGACTTTTCCTCTAATATTCACAGTCTGAATTTTCCTCCAATATAAGCTGAAAACGTTAAATTTTAAGGTACTATGTTATGATTTTTAGTCCTTTCAAAGTCACTTATAGGCAAATATACAGGTCCTTCTCAAAATATTAACATATTTTGATAAAGTTCATTATTTTCCATAATGTAAGGATAAAACTTGAACATTCATAAATTTTAGATTCATTGCACACTAACTGAAATATTTCAAGTCTTTTATTGTTTTAATACAGATTATTTCGGCATACAGCTCATGAAAGCCCAAAATTCCTATCTCAGATCCACAATGGTCAAAGATTTATGGGATGAT